AACTATGGGAAAGTTACTTAATGTCTGAGTCTCAGTTTGCTCATCTGCAAAATGGTATGGTACATCCACAGCACTTAGCACAGGGCCCGGCACATAATTAACACTCCACAAATGGGAGCTGCTGTTCGTGCCATCGTCCCCCCCTCACCTTGACCCCATTCTTCCCTACCTTCTCCAACAAGTTACCGTCTGTGCCTTCAGCTAGAGCCCCGTGGCCTCCTGACTACAGGTGGGCCCTCCAGGTGGGCAGTTTGGGGCTAATACCTACTATTCTTCAAGACTCAGCTCAGGGCCCCAGAAGAAAGCTTTCTGTATTTCAGACTCCCGTAAGCCCCAGTCACTCCTTTTATCACAGCCTGTTTACCTGACTACAAATACTGTGAGGGCAGGGTGCTATCTTTCATCTCTGTCCCCAGTGTCTGACACACATATACTGATTCATTCAACAAATATTTGTTGAGCACTGAGTCCTCACTCTGTTGTCCTAGCGCTGGGACATCACTTTTTCCCTTCCCTTCGACTGCCAGGATCTTCCTTCTCTGGCCCCAAGACGGTGGGAGAACATATCTGTCTGGTAATCCTCCTGCTTCTTAGAGTCACTCAGGGCTCTTGCCCTGAGGGCTGGTGGGGAGAGGGAGGCCCAGGGGAGATGATCGGGAGTCTGGGGGCTTTGCAAGTAGGTAAGAGACAGCCAGGCAGGCCTGGCAGAAGCTCTGCCAAATGGCACGTCCTCATGCCCCTGTTTCCTGACTTCAGTACCTCTTGCTCCCAGCGAGGCCAGGGCTCAGCTGCAGCACATCGCCTCTGTGTCCTGGGCTCCCTTCCTGCCCTGCTTGTACTTCTGGCCTGGGGTGTATGCCCCGCTTCTTCCCTTGCCTGGCCCAGGCCCACAAAGGCGGTCAGTCCTGGACCGGGGGATGAGAGGCCCAGATTCTGCAGCTCTGATTCAGAATCAGAACCAGGGTCTTCCCACTATTGAGAAATCCTTGCCGGGCTCTAAAATGCATCTCTCTTGCTTAAGTTACTTCCTGTGGCTTGAAAACAGGGAGGGGGGCTGTGTTGGGAGCAGGCTGGGTGGAGAGGCAGCTTCAAGGAGACAGCGGGGGAGGAGAGGCCAGGCTGGAGCTGAGCCGGGAGACGTGGGGCTGGCTCGGCCAGGGAGAGGAGAGAAGGGCTGTGAAATGATTCGGAAACTCAGGATGGGAGTGGGAGCGGGGAGCAAAAGCACCAGGGCATGGGTGGCCCAAGGCCAAAGGTTGTGCTGGCAAGAGCCCCCCAGGATTCTGACACCCTGAGGGTGAGGAAGGCCAAGGGAGAGGGTGGGGAGTGGTGGCTGGCTTTCATACATAAAATCTGGAAGGGTTCCATATGTATAGGGTGGGAGGCAGAGAGGGCCCAGGCCGCCCAGTTCAGTGGGAAGTCGGATCCCTTTCCAGCCAGGGAGGTCAGTTCATCGCAGACTCAGGGGGGCTACTTTCTGCCCCCCTCTCTGCCTTCCCTCTAGACACATCACTACCCATTTCCTGTTGTGATTTTAAGCACACACATACACACATACACACAGGCACACAAGGAGGGAGGGAGGGATACGAGAAACTGGCCAGCTGGACTTAGGGACTCATTTCGCAACCTTGCTGCTTGCAGTGTAGGGGGCCTTTTCTGCCTCCTCACTCCTTTCCCCATGTGGCATGGTACAAGGAAGAAACCCCAGAACCCTGGAGGGCCCTTCCAGAGCATCCCCGCATACACAGTCCAAAACTAAGTGACTTCAGCAAAACTTATTTCCTTTCAAAAGGCCTCTATGTGCAGCGTCAGAACCTTCTTTCCCCACACACACCCCTTCCCAGGGCTCCATTCCTGCATGCTGCCCTCACTCTTTCTAGGGTGAAAACATCCTCAAAGCCAGGGGAAGACAAGTCAGAGGAGCACAGCTAAAGCAATGCAGGGCTGGGAGTGGGGGGCTGGGGGGGGGTGGGTCAGTACATCTGACCTCCAGTCCCGCCTAGGGGCAGCCCTGCAGGGGGCTGGGCGGAGCCTAAGCTTCCCTGAGCCGGGTCAGAGGTGGGCGGTCAGAGGTGAGAGGCAGAGGGGGCAGGGCAGGCCTGGCTGTGGCACTACCAGACCCACAGCCCCCTCTGGGTCTTAGTTTCTACGACTTCAGTCTTTTGCGTATCACTTTCAAAATGCTTGCCATGGTTATGTACATTTATGTACATATGTATCATTTACCTACGCTTTCTGTAAGTCAACTCATGTTTCTTATTTTTCTGCAACCTAAGCAATCTATGAAATCATAGATTTGATGTGCTAGTTATAGGAGTTTCCTAATGGGTATTACACAAAAACTATAACAATAAAAAAAAATGCACATCCACGTACCACTTAAAATCAAGGCATCCCTGCTTTGGGAAAGGCAGTATCAAAAACTGAGGGGTCAGGGGCGCCTGGGTGGCTCAGTTGTTATGCGTCTGCCTTTGGCTTGGGTCAGGATCCCAGGAGCCCCACATCGGGCTCCCTGCTCAGTTGGGAGCCTGTTTCTCCCTCTCCCACTCCCCCTGCTTATGTTTTCTCTCTTGCTGTGTCTCTGTCAAATAAATAAAATCTTTAAAAAACACAAAACAAAACTGAGGGGTCAGCCTCAGTCCTCCCTAAGGGTCTTCTGGCTCACTACCATGTTCTCCAGTCACAGAATCAGAATCCACAGAGACCTCCCCATGCTGCTGGGACAGTGGCAGAGGGGAGGATGGGCCCTGGGATTACATCCCAGGAGGGAGGGGAAGTGGTGAGGACTCAGCCCCAAGTCCCCCCAGTCCAGGCCAGTGAAAGTCACAGACAGAGGAAGAAGTGTTGGCAGCCGGGGCTCAGTTAAGGGAGTAAAATGCATGTGTGCGTGCGCGCGCGCGCACACACACAAACACACACACACACACACTTTCCAGATCATGTGAGGAAGTTGGTCAGAGAGTGTCCCCCAACTTTTGAGTAGAAACAGAGGGAAGGAGCTGGGATCAAGACAGGAAAAAGCAGGAGCTTCGATCCCAAGCTGGCTCCACAGAGCCTCTCCTGGAAGCTGCACCGACCACTGAGCATGGCAGGGTCTTGGAGGGGCCCTCTGAGGGCTCTCAGGACTCCGAGCAGGTCTGGCACACACATGCCCTAGGACCCATGTGAAACAGGCTCACTTCCTGGCCTCCTTCCTTTTTTCTATTCTATTTCTGTTACCAGAGTTTTCTCTGGGGCAGGCTCCCCCTTCTTCCCACACCAGCAAGCAGGCTGGCTCTCTCTGCCTCTTGGCCTCTGGGCTCCAGCACCTCTCAATTGTCAGACTCCTCCCTCCTGCATGGGGCTCCCTCCCAGGGGTGCAATGGAGGTCACAGTCATAGCCAGGAATGGGATGATTGCAGGGAGGGCTCCCCTAGGGGGCAGAGAGAAAGCAGGAGAAAGCAGCAACCTTTCTTCTTCATCCCCCTTGGGGAGCTAATTACAGGCCAGCAGCCCACTGCACAGGTGAGTGCCTGGGACCAGCCACCCGCACACCAGGACAGGCCACTCAGCTTCTCCTGAGAAGGGGTGGAGCTAGGGATGGGGGAGGGTGCTGGGGAGAGGGAGAGACACTTCGGACATCCTCATCGCAGGGCCCATAATTAGTCTGTGGGATGAGAGCAAAACAACTATCCTCAGGGTGACAGCCAGACATTCAGGCGGCATGGGGGGTGGGGTGGGGGCTGGGAGGAGGCACAGAGGCTGGGGCAATGGGAACCCACTCGTCCGCCCCACTAGCATTTCTCCCAGGAACCTTGGTCTGTTCCTGCCTCCTGGACTCTGCCACAGAGGGGCCCAATGAATCTAACAGACTGGGAGGCAAGGCTCTGTTTGCCAAGGGAGGGGTACCCGCCTGAGCTTATTTCCTGCTTCTCCTTTGGAGGAAGGCAGGAGACAGGGCCAGGCCAGAGCAAAAGCCAAGAAGTTTCCCATCAGGGCGCCCTCGCCAGCCGCCTACCCACGAGCCCATCGTCTGGCCCCGAGGCAGGGCCAGGGAGGGAGCTGCCAGAGCTGTTTGTCCAGACAGGCCTGTTGGGTGGGGCCGTCAACAAGGAGCAGGGAGAGGGCAGCTGTCTCAGGGGTCTCGCCCTATGCTACCCTCTCTGCCACTGGGTTCCCTGATCTGCCCACCCCTCGAGAGGTCAGCCAACCAAGTGTGGCAGCCCCCAGCCCAGCATTCCAAGGAAGACATGTCGGATCGCAAGTGAGCCCTGGTGACCAAGAGACCAGAAACACCACTGGGATGCTCTGGAGGACCTGGAGCCGAGGTGCGGACGAGCTGACGAGGCCACAGAGGGAAAGGGCTCTCGGGGAACCCCTGCTAGTACAGAACTAAGCCCATGTGTCCTCCTGGGATCTGTCTTCTGTGGTGATCATCATACGGGGATGCAACAAAGAATGAAGATCTCCCAGCAGGCCCAAGGTTCACAATCCTAAACCTTATGGGTTGCCTCTTGCTTTCACTTCAATTGATCTGCTCTGGACAGGCAAGCTCAAACCCATGATGCAGATTAGGAAATCAAAGCAGGCACAGGGAATTCTGATTTACTCAAGGTCACAGATCAAATTATCCTCCCTCCCGGGGGTCAGATCAACCAAGGCCAGATCTTCCCCCTCATCTCTGCAGTGTGCTTCCTGGAAATGTGATGGTGCCAGATGTTTGTTTGTTTATGTAACAGCATCTGAGATGAGCAGGGTTGCCTCTGGCAGTGGATCTGTGCCCTGGCCCCATCCCTAGGTATTTCCCTTCTTCCACCCCTAAGACAGCAAAGTACAGCCCAGGGAAGGAGTTTGAATGGAAACATCCCAGAGGTCTTAAAATGTTCCTGTGGCCCCAGTGCTCTCTGCTCCTCCTCTAGTCTCACTCACTGTCACAAAGCCCCCCACACAGCCTTAGGACCCCCACACTCACCCTGCAGCCATGGGTCCGTTCTGATGATGTCCCCAAGGAAAACGACAGAACATGGAGATAGACCCAGCCAGACCCTGGCATCTTTGCCCTCAGCCACAACCTAGCAAGGCTCCGCCTGGGCTCCAGGCCTTTTCTTTCCCTTGCCCTGCCTCCTGCTACATGGGAAAGCCCCTCTGCGGTCGAATCAACACTCTTCTCTCTGAGAAGGGACAGTCCCCGGTCTCTGGAGATTGACCATTCATTGCCCCCTTAGCATTTTTCCTTGGCCCTGGCCCAAAAATCAGAAGCCATCTAGAGACCAAGCTCAGAGAGAGGGAAGGAAGCAGAGCCATCAGTCTGCCCCTGCCCCCCAACAGGGGTCATCTTGTGCAGCCCCCTGCTTTGGCCTCAGTCAAGGGCTTCTTATTTAGACTCCTGCCCCAGACAGGGGTCATCCTGTCTAACCCTCTGCCTCTGTCCTAGGCAGGCTCCAGCTTGCTCCATCTTCCCCGCCCTCCCCTGCTCTCCAAGTTAGGAGCAGGCGACTCACGGTGCAGACTGAGGGAGATGTTGATGGTGTGCTCATCCACGAAGCCCTTCAGGCCAGGCATGCGGGCACACTTGAGCTGTGTCTGGGCAGCACTGTCCCCAACATGCACCCAACACACAGTCTCATTGGCGTAGCTGAAGTCCATGGCCGTGGTCTGCCGTGTGCTAGTCGGTGTGATGGTAGACACTTGGGCCCCGCTCAGGTACGTGGCCAGGATGTTCTGGGAGTTGGCAATCAGCAGCACGGGGGGCCGGTCTACTGGCTCTGTAGATGGAGGAGAGAGGGGGCGATATGACAAGGGGCTCTAGGACCTCTCAGGCCGCCCCCCCCAGAGCAACACGGGGACCATCTATCGCTGCGACCTCAGGGGACCCCACCTACCATTCTTGGCCTTGCAGGAGCGGTTGTCTGGCTGCAGCAGGTACCCTTCCACACAGCCACATGTAAAAGAGCCGTCCGTGTTGGTGCATAGCTGGCTGCAAGTGCCGTACACTGAGCATTCGTCAAAGTCTGCCGGGAGAGGGGTAAGAGTGTGGTCATCTCCCGTGTAACGAGGGTAGGAAAGTGGGTGCCCTCAGACCCCACCAGTGGGGCTGTCCATCCTTATGGCTACTTTGGAGGACAGTTTGACAGAATCTATCACAAGGAGAGATGTGCAAACTTCATCCCCTACCAAGTCCAGGCTTGGAATCTGCCCTCGTGAAACCCCCGCATACGTGCACATCATCCGTTCCTTCAGAAAAGATTCCTTGAGGACCTGCTCGATGCCAGGTACCGTCCTAGGCTCTGAGGATGCAGCCGTGAATAAAATATATTCAAATTGCTGCCCTCATGAAATATAAATTCTGACAATAAATGAAATATTGGTATTTCAGTAATAAACAAAACAAAAAAGTAAATTGTATGTTAGAAGGGCTAGTGCAGTGGAAAGTGACTGGTGGGAAAAATATTAAACAGAGATGGGGGTAGAGAACGCAGGCAGTGGATTATGATTTTAGGGATGGCCTCCCTGAGAAAGTGGCATTTGTGCAAAGAGCCGAGGGAGGTAAATTTAAAACAGAAGAGGATGCACTGTTCGTGACAGAGAGAAATTGGAACATCTCACTCACCAATAGGGAGATGGCCAAGTAAACTGTGGTAATAGTCCTACTTCATAGTGGTTTCTAAAAGAACAGGTAGATCTCTACATATTAATACGGAAAAATCTCCAGAACATATTGAGTGGAGAAACTGAAGAAAGGTATGTACCGTGTGATATTTATGTGAAAAGGGCATGCGCACATAAACAATACTTTCAATTAGATTATCCGCGGATCCATGCATTCCAATGCGCAGAGAAAGGCCTAGAGACTGAGGCAGCAAACCGATAACACAGTTGACCTCCGGAGATGGGAAAGGGAGCAGAGCTGAAGAGGACTGGTCAAAGGGGACTTTGGTTTTATCTATAATGCTTTAAGGTTTTTACAAGAAAACTCACATATCCGACCCATGAGATTTTAAGAGGAATTTAGAAATCTGGTGGCAGCAAGTGGTCAGGGCTCACAGTCACGCCTCGGGGCAGGCCTCCTGTCTGTACCTTCCATTTCACTTTCCTCCTACCCGCCGGCCCTACCCCACGCCCGCCCCCCAGCCACGCACGCCCCCCCCCAGGGTGTCCACACGGACACATAAGCACATGCGCTCACATACCTTTGCAGGTCTTGCCGTCTGCCTGCAGCTGAAAGCTGTTGTTGCAGTAGCAGGTGGGCCCGTTGAGTGTGGGGACACAGTGGTGCTGGCAGCCCAGCTGAGAACAGGGTCCTTGGAGCTCTGCGTGGGGGCAGGCAGCACACACTCAGGCCCCCAGACTGCCACCTTCCCCCGCCTCCCGTCAACCCTTGGGAAACCACTTCCAAGGCCCACAGCATCGGAGATGGAAGAGGCTTCAGGAATCATCTAATATATTTTGCAAGTGGGGAAACTGAGACCCAGGGAGGGTACAAGTTGGGCCTAAGGTCCCACAGCCAATTATGGCTTAGAGGCCATATCTGCCTGCTCTGGTAGCTCTGGACTCCCTCTGTCCCCGTGGAGAGGGGTTCTGGCAGTTGTTGGGGTCAACAGGGAGCGAGGACAGTGAGTCTCGGCCCCTTCATTTGCCTCTTATCTGCACGGCCCAGGAACTCCAACGCTGGCTTTGGGGCTGAGGGGGAGGAGTGGGCATGGGGCGGGAGTCTTTCCCCTCAGGATCCCAGCTCTGGTCTGGAAGCACCCGTCTAACCCATCCCTTAAGCCCTGGAGGCCTCAGAGAGAAGGTCCAAGGTCCAGGTGGAAAATGGGAGGAGGAACAAAACTGGTTCCCTCAGGACCTTTCTCTAATCTTCCTCCTGCCACTGACCCACTTCCACAGGGGAGACAGAAGGGAATGAGACAGGAGGGGGAAGAGGTGGGGGAGCAGCTGCCCCCCCAAGACCAGCGACCCAATTAATGGCCTTGCGTGGGGCCAGGCGGCCTGGCCACAAAGACCCCTTTGTCCAGCTGCCTCACACCCCCGCTTCCCCCCCATCTAGAAGAGAGCGTTGCCCGAGATGCTAAGATGTTCAGAGGCGCTAAGCCTGCCAGGAGGAGCTGGGATGGGGGGCCAGTCCCCACTGATTTCTTCTCCTCTCCACCTCCACCCGGGAGCCCAAAGGTGCTGCCTGGCCAGGCTTCCCCCACAAAGCGGGGGAGGGCAGGGGGCGGGGATGATATTGTTTGTTCAGGAAAATCTAGAAAAGAATTTCTCTTCTGGACATGTGGCAGGAGGATAAGGAGGCCCAACTTCTCTAATAGCAGAGAAGGGAGTTCAAACCCTAGGTTCTCAAGGTTCTTTGTTGTCTTCGATGCTGACAAAGAATTCAAAAGGAAGCAAACTTGAACATATACCATGCGATAAGATGTGATGGGCATGGCCATTAAAGTCAGCCCCTAGGCCCAAGCTCTGCATCCCATCCCAGGAGCTCTAGACAAAAACATGCAAACTCGACCCAAGGAAAGGATAAAAATCTTCCACAAACTCCTTGCTCCACGCTCCTTGCCCTTGGTGAACAGGATCCAGATGTGTCTCCTCCCACAGGCAGATGTTTCTGACAAGCGTATTGGCGCAGCACGCCACCCTCACCCAGGGAGCTCAGTAGAAGGGAGAAGGGACTACCATACCCTAGTCCCTTCCTCGCAGGCCCGAGGCTCCGCCTTACGGACAAATCCTCCCCCACTGCTCTCAAATGACCCAGGTTCTCCCTGACCCACAGGGGCCTTCAGGGGAAGAACGGTAGAGCTGGTGACCTGAGCCGTAGAGGGGAAGGGACCTATCCTCCTAAAGTTCCCTCCTCCTCAGCCTGGGTGACCTTCCCATCAAGCCACTTTAGAGTGTCTCAACGATCTGCACTTCCCCAGGGGATGCCCTCAGGGACACTGGCTGGCGGGGAGGAGGGTGAAGCAAACACCACATCCCCACCCCCAGCTTCAATCACAGCATCTGCCCTTCCCTGTTCATACTCAGGTTTCATTTAAGAAACCATTTGAAGAAAGAACCCCACGATGTACAACAACAACAAAGGATGAAAATACTGATCTAGTGCAGGGCTCTCATTTTGTAGGTGGGATCCTGGGGTCCGGAAAGAGGTAGTGACTTGCCCAGGCACACACAGCTGAAGAGAAGTGCCCGGGCCGGGGCCCCAGCTGATCCCCGCAGGGCTGTTGACTAAGCCCCAAGCCCAAAGGCCCACTGCTTTGGGAGCACCGGAGCAGGACAATGCCTCATCCCCACCGGAGGTGTGAGGACAGTCCTCGGGCACTGGGCCTCCAAACCCATCACGTGCCCAGCTGAGAACTCACTGCATCCATCTCCTGGGGCAGGAGAGGTGGAAGAGCCCTTACCTCGGCAGTGAGGCCCCTCGTCTGAACCATCCATGCAGTCCTGGACCCCGTTGCAGAGGCGGGACATGAGAACACACAGCTCGGTGCCCAGGCAATTGTGCTCGTTCGGCTGACATCGCTGGGCCTTACTCTGCGGACCTGGGGGCACACGGAAGGGCTGGCGTGAGCGAGCCGGCTACACTGGCTATCTGGCCAGTTGTCCACCGGGAGAGGGGGTGAGGGATAGAGAGTGGCGTTTCAGACACCTGTACTTCCTCCATCTCAGGAGGCCTCGGGGGCTGCTTCGATTCTCCCACCTAGAGCTCTTTTACACCATTCCCGACGGGAGCCGCACAGCCAGGGGGAGGGGAGAGCTAAGGCCTTCAGCAGAGTCCACTCCCCACGTGCCCGATACCCATGGATCCCAACCCTCCACCATCGTACACTCAGGAGACAGGCCGAGGTTTAGAGGTGAGAGGGTTGGATGAGCCAAGGAAAGCAAGAGTCCTCGGCAGGGAGGCTCACATGTTAAAGAACACCACCTTCCCTTCGCTCCCCAGGGCCCAGAGCCTGGGGCTGAGAGCCAGACCAAGTTTTCTGGAACGGCACTGTCCAACACATAGCAACAGCCATATGTGGCTGTCGCGTACCTGAGATGTGACCAGTTTGAACTGGAAGTATAAATGCACCCTGGCTCTGGAGGACTTACTACTACACACGCACCCACACGCAGAAGAATGCAAAAGATCTCATTACTAATATTCTATGATTAATATACTGAAATAATATGTCAGATACGTTGGGTAAAATAAAGTGAAAATTAACTTCACCTAACTACTTTTAAATTTTCTATTTTTTTAATTTATTTTTATTTTTATTAAGTAGGCTCCCCACCCAGCGCAGAACCCAATGCGGGGGCCCGAACCCACAACCCCAAGACCAAGACCTGAGTCGATATCAGGAGTCGGACGTCCAACTGTTTGAGGCACCCAGGTGCCCCTACTTTTACCTTTTGTAATGTAGCTACTAGAAAATTTCAAAATTGCATATGTGGCTTGCATTATATTTCTATTGGACAGCACCACTCTTAAAATGCCTGACCCCAGAGCAGCCTGCCTGGTTGGAAGGATTTGAGAAGCATCAAAGGTTGGGGCCTACTGATGGTGGGCCAAGGCGAGCAGGGTAGAGCTCCTCAGGGAAGCCTAAGGAAGCCACGCAGACTAGGATGCTGGCGGAGCCCGTGGGCTGAGAGACAGATCACTACCTACTGGCTTCCACAATGGACAGGGTGTGTGAGTGAGAGAGTGTCCGCATGTGAGTGCATCTGTCCACGTGTGCCTGGGGAGGAGTACGCAGTTTGAATCTTGAGTCTTGAGTTTGTATGTGAGTGTCTGGGGCGTCTGTCTGAGGTCGGGCTTCTGCATCCCCGTTTGAGAGTGTTGACTCTGTTGCAGTTAGAATATGTCTGTGCTGACATTTGCCTTAGTCTCGGGGTGGCGGGAGGGGTGGGGGAGGGCCACACGGGTGTCCAGGAGGGGCTGTGTGTATGATGGGCCTGGGAGCGTATATGAGGGGGAACAGTGTGGGGATGTGTATAAGGTGGGGTTTGCATCCAACTAAAGGAAGACCTGGCCCCTCTGCATGGCTTTCATTACCCCAACATCAAGCACGAGGGAGGGTAAAAAAAATGTAGGGCATAAAGGTGGCATCAGTCAAGATGAACCACCCTCACCATAGAAACGCTTGCAGAATATCTCTGGCCCCACCCCTCGAGGGCAGGGTATGGGGGTGAGGCAGAGAGAACTGGAGGCTCCCTTTCTGGCCCTAAAATTACCCCTGATAATTGTGGGTGAGGGTATGGGGAGAGGCCAGGGGATGGAGCTGTGAGAGAGAACAGGGACAGACCTAGGAATGCAGGGTCTCCTAGACCGTGGCCCAGATTAGCCAAGCAGGGAGAGGCTGAAGGTGGAGACCCCAGGACTCAGCCAGCTGCCCAGGACTCTGGGGTCCTGCCAGCAAGTCCTCCACCCCCCACTGGCAGGGTAAAGGCTGGGTGGGGACCTTTCTCCCAGTTTAAACAGCTGCCTCTGATTACACCACTTACTGGGGCAGGGGAAGGCGGGGGTGGCGGGAAACGCACAGGGGTGGGGCTTCTGGTACAGAGACTGAGCAAGAGCCAGTAGCCTTTGGCCTGGGAGCCTGAGGATAGGAAGGCGACCTGGCAAGACCTGGGGGCACTTATCAAGAGTCAGAAGTCTCCGAGATGGGAAGAAGACCGAGCCAGAAGGGCAGGGAAGCCAGGCTCTCTCCTTCCAGCAAAGCTGTCAGCCCAGATAACAAAGTCGCTGACAGGCTTGGGGGTGCAGCCATTAACGGAGCAATCAGAGGTGCCATTTCTGAGCACGTCAGGCACCATGCCGGGCACTTTGAAAAGGGGGAGAATTTTAGCTGTGTCATGGACAAACAATCACAGAGCAAGGTCCACCCCGGGCTAGAGATCAACTGTCCTTATCCCAAACTGCCAGGGCCAAAAGGAAAAGGTGTTTAGGGGAAGGGATCAGAAAAGGTACTTACAAATCTCAGGGGCCTCATCAGATCCATCCGGGCAGTCCCTCTCACCATCACACCGCCAGCCCTTTGAGATACAGGTGATCTGGTCTCTGCAGGCAAACTGCTTGGGGCTACAAGTCTTAGGGGCTAGGAGTAAGGAAGTAAAATGAGGATGTAAATGAAGGATGGAGGCCCCTTAAAGTCCCCTAGGCTCCTCTTCCTTCCCCAGCATCAGTCCCCATCTGGCCCAGACTCTGAGCTACAGTCCAGGTGCCTAGAGGTGGCAGGTGGCTGTGGGTCGCTCCTGAACACCGTGTGCCTGTGGTGGGAGGAGGGGAAGGAGGCAGGGAACGTATTTTACAGCCCCCGACCCAGCCCCATATGCTGCCTGTCCAGTGTGCCTCTCCTCGCAGTCCTCAGGGTCAAAGCCCTTGCCGTTCTGCATTACTCTGGTCAGACACCAGCAGCCCCAGCTTTGCCAACCGAGAGTGATGGTGAAGGATGGAGCATTTAGGCCTTTGACAGGTTTTCTCTTTATCTTCCTTTCCCTCCCACTAGAACCCCACAGCGCTTTTTTTTTTTTTTTTTTTTTGAGTAAGCTCTACACCCAACATGGGGCTCGAACTCAATCCTGAGATCAAGAATTGCACGCTCTACTGCTCTTCTCTAACCTCTCTGCTCAGTGTGCCCTCTGGGACACTCCTGCTGCCTGAAACCCATCAGCCTGCCCATCTCCAAGTCCTAACCACCAGGCCCCTGGACAGGAAGTGTGGGGGGGTGCCCTTGGCACAGCAGTGACTTGGAGATTGTATCAGCAGGGGTACAGGAGGGCATGGTGGGGCGGGGCGGGGGGAGCCCTGCCTCCACCTCCGTTCTCTAAAGACACAGCCTTCCTTGCTGGTTAGACCTCAGGGAGGACTTTCAGTAGATGTCGTGTGAGATAAGAGGCACCTAAGATTGCTTAGGATGCCACAACTGGAGATCCGAGGCAGGAGGATGACTGGGGTGACCTACAGGAGCTGGTTTCAGCCCAGGACGTCTTTGCCCTACCCTTCAACCCCACCAGGCTTCCTCTGCTCTTACTCAGATTTCCTACCTCCTTCTTCAAGGAGGAATTAAGAATGGTAACACTAACTCTTGTTGTGGGCTCAGCATGTACCGGAACTGTGGTAAACCAGTTCTTTCCATGTATTATCTCATTTAATCCTCTCCATAATATGACAAAATAGGTAATACTAATACCACCATTTCATAGATGAGGAAACCGAGCCCCAGAGAGGGTGAGGTCACCTAGCAGGCAAGTGACAAAACCAGGCCTGAAACCAGCTGAGCCAACTCTACGCTTTTAACCCTTGCAGTCCACATCAATCTTCCCACTCCCACTGAGAGATACTCGGAGCTCTTCCTTCCAACCCCATCACCATGTCCTCCATGGGAAGAAAAGCCCTCTACCCTCCTTTGTCCCTACCCAGGGCTGGGCTCCTAGTCTCCCAGCCCTTCATCGCCTTTTCCTTGGCCTGTCGTCAATTCCATCTCCATTCAGCTGGCATGCACTGAAGACCAGCTCTGTGCCAGGTACTGCACTAGGCACTGGGGTGCCATGGAGGAGTGAGTTGCCCCCTTGGGAGCCCCAGTTCCCCCTGGGAAGACAGCTGTACACAACTAACTCAAATGCAGGGCGGAATGAGCTCAGGACTGGGACAGAGCATAAATAAAGTATGTCAGGGCTCCTAGCAGGGAGGGTAGAGTCTGAGGAGGGCCACACGGAGACCGTGTCCTCCCTCCCTAACCCCCATCTCTGGCAGAGGGGACTGCACTCAGGCCCCTGGCCAGGATGAGAGCCGAGTTCAGGAAACACATCAGGGATGGCCTGGCCAGGCTCCCCCACCCCCGGCATCCCCCTCCCCTACCTCCCACCCTGAGCAGTGAATAAAGGCCCCTTGAGGAGGTGGATAATGCTGAGTTCATTGCCCCACTGGGCCAGCTGTGAGGTCTTCCCGGGGAAACAGCCCGCCAGCCTAGTTAGCATGCCGGAGACCGGTCCTCTTCCCCTGGCCAGCCAAGACTGGCTGGTGGGGGGGTGGGGGTGGGGGTAGAAGGGGCTGGAATGGGACTAAAGGCAGATGGGCTGTTTGGAGCCCAGAAATGGCCCCCATGCCACCCCCACCCCTTCACATGGACTTAGTCCCTGCCCCCACTCCTCCCCAGGGCAGAGCTCATAGCCCCGTGAGGTCACTGTTTGGCCACTCCAACCCCCCCTCCATTCCATGTCCCAGCCACGATCTCCCCTCCATTGGCCTTCACTTTGCACCCCCCCCCCGCCCCGCCCCGCCGCCGCTGTCCCCCACCCCCACTTTTGGCCTGAACTCGGCCGAGGAAACAGCAGCTGGCAAACTCCCGAAAGCTGGAATGAGAGAGATTCACAAACCAGATGTGCTCGTGTGGAGGGAGGGGAGTGGGGGGTGGGGGGAGGGAAAGGAAGAGGCGCACTCAGGCCCCTTGTCCCACAGCAGCACCTCTTCGGGCCCAGGGCACAGGGACTTGGGGGCGCTGCACTGCTCCCACGGGACAGGGCAGCACAAGGATCCTGGAGAGATATGTGAAAGCACTTCCTTCCTGTCAGGGATGGTGGAGAAAGCCCCAGGAATCTGGAGTTTGAAGGCTGAGGCCTGTCTTTGATTTCCTTCAGGGGGAGTGGGGAGGAAAGAAACAAATAACCTACTTTGGGGCAGTCTACATAGCCAAGAGAAGCCTCCCCCTGAGGTGGGAGGGAGCTGCAGTGGGGGTGGGGTAGGGCACTTGTAATCGGCTTAGAACTGCCAGCCAACCCCACTCCCCTCAGCGGAGCCTTCTGCATCTGACGCCAGCACCCACAAGACCCATCTTGGTGGCCTGCCGCTTAGGTGAAGGAACAACATGGCCCCAAGTTCAGGAGCAAGCAGCCACTGGCCTCCCCTGCCTAACCCCCTCATGAGAACTGGGGCTTCCTAACGATACGAGCTAACTAACACCTTTCAACCTGGTCACTGCGTCAGCCACTGATCTGAAACACTTTGTAGGTGTTAACTCACTGAAATCCTCACGACCCTGGGAGGTGGGTACTGTTGCGATCTCCACCGCACAGATGAGGAAACTGAGGCACAGAGCGATTTAGTACCTGAACAAACAGGTGGTTTCCTCACTGGCCATGAGGATGGAGCCAGATGAAAGAGGGTGAAGAAGAGGAACCAGCAGGGAGAACATTTTGGTTCTCTGGCAAGAGGAGTGGGGAAAGAGATTGTAGGGGGTGGCAGTGACCTTCAGGGCTCCTTGGAGTGAGGAGGGGGTGGTGGAAGAGGCAGAGAGGGACAAGAACGGAACAGAGAGGGAAGACAGAGGAAGGAGAAGAAGGAGGAGAGGACTGGAGAGGGAGGAGAGGGAGCGAGGTTGCAGCGAGAACGCCAGGACACAGGGGCCGTCTGTTCTCAGCTTTGCCTGGAGATGAATGTGACCGCCATGCTAACTCTGGCCAGCACCCCTGCCCCCCCCCTCAAGCCCAGGCACCCAGCCCAGCCATGGCCCCCAGGGCCACCAAGCTGGAGCCGGGACAGGAGGTGTAGGCTTGGGTGTGTGTCCAGACACAACATGGACCCCACTGCCCTGCTTGAGCCTTGGCTGTCGTCCTCTGTCCCATTCTGGGACCTTGGGGGTGGGGTGGGGAAGGGGGGGGTAAGAGTGCCTGGCCAGAGAAGAGAGGATGACAGGAAAGAACAGACCCCGAGAGAGTCTTCTCCAGAGGAGGAGACCCATCCATTGATCCCGGTGGGAGCAGTGAGGGTGAGGAAGGGAGTTGAGACCTCAGATGGCACTTCTTCCTAAAAGACCAGGAGACTTGAGGCCATGAAAGTGTGAAAGAGACCCTTGAGGCCTTTTTCAAGAGCAGACACAGCAGAGGGAGAGATAGGCTGTGTTGGCTGGGGGATATTTTCTAAAGGGAACCACATGAAATGTCTAAGGGAACAGAGGAGCCAGGGGGTGGCCAGGGGCTGGGGGGCAGAGCCTACAGGAATCTAAGCTTTCAAACATATGGGGGTGGGGCAGCAGGGCCTCCCAGACCCAAACCGAGAGCTTTTCACTGAATTTTATGTATTTTGGGTGTTACCCGGTGGCTCCTTCCCGCAGCTCAGTGAGGCTCAGACACATTTTTGTCATTCCTGAGTCTGGGCCTCTGCTTTGCGGCCTGGACAGACGTACAGACGGGATGGCTTGGACTGCCAGGGGAGGGGAAGGGTCCCCCCCTCCATCCTGAGTCAATATTGACTCAGCAGGATATTAGCCTGACCAGTGACCTCCCCACCATCTTTTCCTTTCCCCATAAGTAAAACTCAGACCCCTTGAATGCCTCCAGAGGTCATCATATATCTCTCACCAGGCCTTTATAAGCCCTTTCCAGCTACCCTCCAACACACACACACATGGCTTATGTTCAGAAGAAGCAGAAGCTCTGAGCTCCTGACCTATTCCCCACACCTTTCCCCAGTTCTCAGGTCATAGGGAAGTTCTGCTAGAAGTCTAACCTCCCCCTTTCCTTCTGAAATATCTCCTTTCCCCTGTTACTCAGCCCACGAAGGGTATCAAGTTCCCTTCCTCCGGAAACATTCTCTCCAAAACCCATTCCTAAACTCAGTGGAGGGGGAAGAAGAGAGAGAAGTTTGGAGGAAAGTGGAGGGGGGAGCTGCACAACGGGACATCCCAGCTCTGACCTGGGAGGGGGACAATAGCTCCAAAATGACAAGGTGGGGACTAGAGAGCAGGTGGGAAAACCCAGGAGGGACGTCTGTTCTCAGGTAGTTCTGGGGACACCCACAGGCCTGGATGGAAGTGGATGGAGACAGGCAGAGACAAATCAAGCAATGGAGACCAAGCAAGACAGAGAATGCCTCAAAGGGTGGGCAACCAGAGAGAGATGAGCCAAGAGGATGAGAGACAGAGGTCCCAAGAGGCCAAGACAGCACACACCAATGACAACAGATGGGAGGAAATATAGACAGGAAGGGGTCTTAGCCCAGAAGTTGCCAGGATAATGGCACGGTTGTCTTGGGATGAACCCAGAAAATAATAAGCCTCCTGAGACTCAGAGTAGGGTGGGGGCAGCATATATCCTGACTCAGGGAGACAGAGTCCCTGCCCTAGCAGTGTGTGACCCGAGGGATACCCAGAACAGGGGTTAATGCCTCCCACAGAATAGGGAGGTGGGGGAAGAATACTGGAGCTCTTCACCCAGGGGAGCCAAGGCCTGGGAGAGACTCTCATCTCCTCTGAGGGAGCAAGAGGTACAAATACCTCTCTCCCACCATCCCTCACCTCTTTCCCGGGGAGGTTTTACACTGGTGCCTGGGGACACGGCACCGGAAGCACTCCAGAGCCAACTGCTTCCTTCTCCAAACAATGCAGGATCCTGCTAACTGGGCTGAAATCTGGGACTGAACACAGTGCGGTGGGACTAAGTTCTCCAAATGCTCACACCCGGCACCCAGCTCCACCAGGTCAAGGACCTTGCATGGCCCCCAGTCAACTGTACCCAGATTCCCCAAGGGTGATGACCCCCCCAATCCAGAGCCAGAGGGCTTGAATGCTGGCGAGTCCACAGAGTGAGGGGACCCCAACAAGAGACTACTGAAGGGCAACAAGCTTGGGGTTCTGATGCGCAAAGGCTAAGACGGCAGCAGGAGGAAAGGAAGTTAGACTTGAGTAAAGAAGGGCTTCCTAGAGGAAGGAGTTTGGAAGAGGTGGGGGGATGTGGACAGGGTCTGGCCAGGACCCCAGCTGACATCCTTAAGAAGCTCAGTGACAGTGGAAAGGGTGGGGGAAAAATATGGAGAAAATGGAGGAAGGGGGAGCAAGACTGGATGAAAAGGAAGTCTTGTGAAGCAACCTCGAACATCAAAATACCCCTCCCATGCCCAAATCAATGCGCTACACATCTCGGCTTTGAAAGACCAGGGGGAAGGGAGGTGTTCAAGGATCTGGGTCTGGCTGGGGAAAAAAGGAGTTTGGAACCTTCTCTCAGAGAGCCAGGAGGCAAACACCTCAGCCTCATAACTCACTTCAACTGTGTGGCTTGTCTGATAACTGGTAATACACTGGCTCAAGGAAGGGGTGTGTGGAGAGGGGTGTGGAGAGTAGGAGGCAGTCCGCCTTCCTTGAGCCCGGTCTGCTGGGGCTGCCCTTCCCACAACAAGATGTTCCTAATCTCAGCAGGGTCCTCAATAACCGCTTTGCCCATCCCCCACCTCATTTGTTTCCCCCTCCTCCCTGGTAGCAACTACACTCAATTCTGCCTACTAGTGGAGTGGCATTGCTCCTCAAAGAGAAGGGAACCCCATGTGAGTTCAGGCATAGCTGACAAAGCAGAAGAGGTGGGGAAGGCCCCTAGGCCTGTGATAGCAGCAGAGAGGAAAGTTAGACACTAAGGTATCTGGGGTCAGGAGGTTTCCTTCTTTGGAAAGCAAACAACGTTCCATGTCTGTGGGCCCAAGGCATGAGGGCAGGGGTAGAGATAAGAGAATCCTCTAGGCTGCCCTGGATAGCACTGGCCCTAAAGGTCTGTGCAATTCCCCTTTCCCACCCTTCAGAGCGGGGTAGAACCAATGATTCATATTCCCATTCCCAAGGTAAGAGCAGTAGAGTGTGTCTGGGGAGGGGTCCTCTTCCTGGGATTTTGGAGACAGTTTAGTTTGAGCTGGGTTACAGATGTGGGCTCAGTGGAAATTTTAAGAAAGAGGAGGGAGACAGTTAAGGAGAACATGACCAGTATCTCCCACTTCCACCCACCACCAACCAACCTATAGCGTGGTAAATAGAACCACCTTAGAACCTTGGGGGTGAAGCAACCAGGGCCCTTCCTGAGTGGGCTGGGGACCTTTTTCTGCTTTCCACAGAGACCCCTCTTGCTTCTGCCTAACTCCATCATGGCGTTCCTGATGGGACTCTCTCTCTTAAAATGTTTTTTCTGTTCTTCCTAGAAGTCATGCACCTGAACCTCTCTGCCTTAGTTTCCCCTTCTACCTCACAAGGTTGAGAGAAAGAGGAAAGAACATGTATAACGAGGAAGTCATGGGCTAGGGCTGCCTGTGAGGGATGATCTAGAGAATATTCAGGAAAGAGCCTCTTTCCTCCTCTGGGGCAGATAATTGAGGTAGTGGTGAGCAAGGGGATAGACAGTCCCCAAGATGGCATCATTGTGGGTCACAGAAAATACTGTCTTTCTGGGCACAGTTACTTCTTGACCCCCTTACCTTTCTCCTCTAACTGAAGAGAGTTGGGGGGAGGGGAGGATAGGGAGAGATAATCTGGTTTCGGAGAAAAACTTTCCCAATCCCAATCTGGCAAAATTTAGAAGGTGGAGGAGGGGTGCATGATGGTATTGGGATCCCAGGACCTTGGGATCATGACCTGAGCCAGTTTTTTTCCTGGATGGCTGGACTAAAGTGACAGGAAGGTATGAGATCCTCAAATCAGGGGCCCAGCCCAGCCCAACCCCATGATCCCAGCTCAAAGCTTAGGCAAGACTTGAACCAGTGACTCACAAGGAAAAGAAAAATAGCTGACATTAAGGGGGAAAGGGGGCTCCTCATTTCCCCAAAAGGACGCTGTTCTAGCTAAAGCCTAACTGCAGTATACAAAGTGTGTGTGGGGGGAGATGGGGAAATGATGGAGAGAAACAAACACATTTACTAAAGGAGCAGGAAATTGGGGGGCAGGGGCATAGCCATAACCCCCATCCAACCTCCAACTCTCCTTTCAGTCCAAACTGTGATCAAGCCAGAAGTCAGGGAGAAACCAGCTTTCCTCCTCCCTCCCACCTCAGCATTCCAGGCCATTCTCCAGTCCCCTTCCCCAATGATGACATCTGACGTTTTTTCGTCTCAAAGCTCCCAGGAATTAAGAAGGAAAATTCAAAGTCACATAGCATCGCTGCCCCCCCCCCCAACACAGCCCTATCCAGGCTATTGACAGAGGCCCTGAGAGGGGGAAGTGCCCACTTAGGAACCCAGGCGGGCAGCCCCGCTGGATCCTGGACCCAGGCCTCCAAGCCTGGTCTCCCGGGCCCAGATTCCACACCCAAGCAGGGGGCCCTCCCCGAGGCCCTCCCTCTCCCCACCCACAGCCTTCCTGGGCCTGCCTGCCCTCTGCCCAGCGGGGCAACCCTGACCCAGCTCCCCTTTCAGATTCAGAGGCCACTGCAAAAGCCCCCCCCCCCTTTGCAGCCGTACATTGCAAATCCGGATTCCTTCACATTTCAGATGGGGTGGGGGGAGGATGTAGGGGAGGCTGAGGCCCTCCCCAACCAGATATAGGAAGAGAAGGCCTCTGGATCCCAGAATCAGAAAAAAGGGGAGCCCTCTTCTCCCTCCCCAGGCCTCTGGTCTTTGTTTGGGCTGGGGGGTCCCGGAAGCATCATTTGCCCAGGGCCCCCATCCTCCAAATCGGACCCCCATCCCCGCCCCCAGTCGGGCCGCTGCTGTGTCAGCTGGACTGGGATAACAAAAGGCACCCCCTCCCGCGTCTCCCTTCCCCATCTGAGCGCAGGAGTGGGGGCTGGGGAGTGGGTGTCCCCAGGGGTCCAAGGGGGCCGGGGAATCTCACTCACCGTCGATAGCGGCCGCGACGAGAGCTGAGAGCAGGGGCAGCAACAGCAGCAGCGGCGGGGTCAGCATGGTGTGGGCTGATGCAAGCAGCACCCCCCTCCCCTCTGGTCCTGCTGCTTCTTGCCGTCGCCCCCCCAGTTGGGGGGTCCCCCTTTTTCTTCCTTCTCCCCTCCTCCTCCTCTATTCTTATCCTATCCTTAAGCAAAGAGCATCAGGGGCGTGGGTGAAGAGGTAGAGTTCAGAGCCCCTTGGGGAGGGCCTGCTGACGGGGGTGCGCCCGCCCCCTGCTCCCAAATCCAAACCCTTCACCCCCAGCTTTTCTCTTCTCCCCTCTTTCCCCCTCCCCGAGCGAAGCTCACAGCCCCATCTCCGAGCCGCCTCCGGCTGCAAAAATGCACAATTGGGAGGAGGCGGGGTAGGGGGTGGGGGGCGTGGACCGGGTGGGGGAGCCTTTGGAAGGGGCCTGATGGAGCTCTGGGGGCTCCCCCGGTTTCCGCCTCCTCAGTGCAGGGGCCTGGAGCTCGCACCACTGTTCCCCGGACTGAGGTGCCGCGACCGGGGAGGGGGGGCGAGGGGGTAGAGGGAGGGGACGGGCAAAGGAGGGAGGGAGAGAAGGGGCGGGGAAAGGGGGGGGGAGAAAGAGCTACGCGGCAATCCTGTGAGTGCGCATGCGCCGATTTGGCGCGCTGCCCTGGGGAGGGGGAGTCAGAGCAGCGACAAGGTTTTGGAGCTCTGGCCAGCGGTCCGAGGGTGGAAGTCTCCGGACCCCCTCCAGCCGTGTGGGGTCTGGAGCGCCTTCTCCCCCGACTGGGTCTTTCTCCCTCGTGCCTCAGAGAGCTGAAGGGCCGAGGGGAGATTGGCAGTGGGCGAGAGCTGAGGGGCTTCTCTTTGAAACTCTTGTCATGCCCTGGGAGTTCAGGCTCCGTCTAGGGACCCAAGACTCCGGGGTCCGGGCCGAGGCCTGATTTCCTCGGGGAACCCTGACTGTGCCTCTCCTGCCTGGAGTGGGGGCAGGGGCCGCCAGTCCGCGAGGAAGATACGGGGAAAAGCTGAGGTTTGATTTGGAGACTTTGTAAAACCGAGACCGGGATTGGGGCCTTTGGAGAAGGGGGGCAGGGTGGGGGAGGGGCTGCGAGGGCCCGCCCCCACCTCGCTCCTGGGCTCAGAGTAAACAGGGACACCCGCGGGGACACGCCGGAGCTTGTCGGTCCGCCCAGGGCTTGAGGATGGAGCCCACCTTAGTACCCGCCCCACCCTGCTCGCCTGGCACCGGGCACGGGAGGGGCGAGTCCTGGTTTGGAGGGAGGTGAGTCACCAGCGGGTGGGGTTGAGGAAGGGCCACCCCTCTTCACCCCAAGAGGTCTGGGCTCATTTATGTTTTGTTTGGTGTTGTTTGTTTTTTTTTTTTATACCTTCTGACTGATTTCCCAACAAGTCGGGGTTTTAGATTCCGAGCAACAAGGATTTGGAATTAGACGCGGGACTGTGGACCCCTGCTTCCAGGCCTGGGGTTCTGAGGTGTCGGCTGAGTGCCGGACCTTTGTCCCGGCCCGAGCCGAGCCCGCATGGGAATGCTACTTTGAGTCCTGAAGGCGCCGGGCGGTTCCCAGAGCCCGGTGAATGTGGTTCTGGCCACTGCCCCCTTCTGGGCGGTGTTTTAAGGTTGGACCTCGGTGTCTGACTTTCTGGGGTCTGGAAGTCAGAGTTCAGGGAGGCAGCAGGCAACGTCGGCTGCCAGACAGAAATTGATGTTAGAGATGAGAGAGGATTGCACCACCCTTCTTGCTTTTTAAATTCTACTTGAGGAATGGGAAGGGCCCCAAGTCCTTACACCAGTCTGTCCCTGGTGGAAAGCAGAGCAGCATGGACGACTTGTCCCACTGATGGCAGGGAAAGGGAGAAGAATCCAGAAGGAACTGGACATTTTCCCCAAACCAGAGCTTCCTCTGGGCTCACTTTGCTCAGGGCCAAAGCCACCTGTTTTTAGTCTCCTGGGCTACGAACTTAAAACATTTTGCCAGTTCCTCATCAGGGCTTTCTCTTCTATATCCAATCTTGCAAGCCTATGCTCAAGGCCTGTCATTTTTGTCCTTTGAAATATAGCTCAAATTTCCTCCATTTCCACTGCCAGAGAGTTTCTCTGGGCAGAGTTGGGGTTGTATTCATCTTTTTATCCAGCCCTCATGGGCCAACACCATGATAGACACATTGCAAGGACTCACTAACTGTTTTTAAATTCTTTTTTTTTTAAGATTTTATTTATTTATTTGACAGAGAGAGCAATCACAAGTAGGCAGACAGGCTGGCAGAGGGAGAGGAAGAAGCAGGCCCCTCTGAGCAAGGAGCCCAATGTGGGCCTTGATCCCAGGACCTTGGGATCATGACCTGAGCCGAAGGCAGACGCTTAACTGACTGAGCCACCCAGGCGTCCCTCACCAACTGTTTTTAATGAGCGTCTACTAGGTTCCTTCCTTTCCCAGGACCCCCCCCCCTCCTAATATAGTGGTCCAAGTGAAACAGACTTAGGACAGCTCTGAGAGGAAAAAGCTATCTGGAGCGACCATATGTGTGGCCCCAGAGAGCTGTGAGGGGCATCGCATTCCTTTTTCTCTGGTATCTAATCTTTCATAAGGTAATCTTCCTCAAACTGCTTTCTCTGCGTCTCGTCCTGGGTGGTGAAACTCTGCTGGGTATCTATAGACAACTGAATCAAATGTGAACTCTTTACCTGTTAGACATGGTAATACTTAGTTAAAAAAACTCCTCAAGGAGTATAAAAAGGTACAGGAAAAGTATAGGAAGGAAGTACAGGAAGGTAAAAGTAAACTTGCCGTGCTCCAAGATCTTATTCTTCAGTCCCAATCTCACAATACCGACTACTACCTACTATTGGGCCTCCTTCAAAAGGTGTTTTAAAACAATTTTTTTAAGATTTTATTTACTTATTTGAGAGAGAGAATGAGAGATAGAGAGCACGAGAGGGAAGAGGGTCAGAGGGAGAAGCAGACTCCCTGCCTAGCAGGGAGCCCGATGTGGGTCTCGATCCCGGGACTCCAGGATCATGACCTGAGCCGAAGGCAGTCGTCCAACCACCTGAGCCACCCAGGCGCCCCTTAAAACAATTTTTTTAATTTATAATCTTTAAATTTTAGTTTATTGTTTAGGGGAGAGGGGCAGAGGGGGAGAGAGAGAAAAATCTTAAGCAGGTTCCACATCCAGCATGGAGCCTGAGGCTGGACTTGATCTCCCAACCCTGAGAGCATGACCTGAGCCAAAATCAAGAGTTGGACACTCAACTGGCTGAGCCACCCAGGCACCCCTAAAATTTTTTTTTTAAGATTTTATTTATTTATTTGAGACAGACAGAATGAGAGAGAGAGAGAGCACATGAGAGGGGGGAGGGTCAGAGGGAGAAGCAGACTCCCTGCCGAGCAGGGAGCCCGATGCGGGACTCAATCCAGGGACTCCAGGATCATGACCTGAGCCGAAGGCAGTTGCCCAACCAACTGAGCCACCCAGGCGCCCCCCTAAAATTTTTTTTAACGACAAACAAATATAAATAGAGATCCTTCATCCTTTATTTTTTATTTATTTATGTTTTTAAAGATTTTATTTACTCATTTGCCAGAGAGAGCACAAGCAGGGGGTAGCGGCAGGCAGAGGGAGAAGCAGGATCCCCACCAAGTGGGGAGCCCGATGTGGGGCTTGACTCCAGGACCCTGGAATCATGACCTAAGCTGAAGGCAGACGCCCAACCAACTGAGCCACCCAGGTGTCCCATCCTTCATCCTTTAAAACCACAAATGAGCTCATACAATATATACTGTACTGGAACTACCTTTTTAATTAACTTATCTTGATCCCTTTCCATATTAAACACACATCTAGCTCACTCTTTATATTGGCTGCTTGGAATCTCCTTGCTAGACAATCTACTGGGATTGTTGGGCTCTTGGGTTATTTCCAGTATGTGAACTGCTGAGGGTGTCTCTGTAAGATGAGAGAATCTATATTTCCACCTGAGCCTTTAGTTATACTGTTCTCCCAGCTCCTGCTTACCTTCCTCAGAAAATCTCTCCTATCCTCTTCCAAACTTACACTCAAGATAATCTCACTACCTAGAATTTAGCACTCAGTTTGGGAGTTCTGTGCCCACCAGGAGACCAAAAACTCCTTAAGGGCAAGGATCATATCTTTTACTTCTTTATATACAACCAGGATGAAGAGCTCTTGATTGGAGGAGGCTGATAGGAGTGTTAGGACTAGGGGTACCTGCCCTGGGAGAGGAGACAATATAATTAATCAGTGACAAATGAGATATGGCTATAAACACCTTCTTTTCTATATTTCTCCTATAGGACTCATTATTCAGTCCTTCTCTGCCTCAGCTTCTTGTCACCCCGCTTTTATATTTTTTAAAGGCTTTTTATTTTTATTTTTAAGTAATCTCTACTCCCAACGTGGAGCTTGAACTTACAACCCTGAGATCTAGAGTTGCATCCTCCACTGACTGAGCCACCCAGGCGCCCCACCCCCCCTTTTATTCTTAAGAATAAAATTCTGTTTCTTCCAGGGGTGCCTGGGTGGCTCAGTCATTAAGCATCTGCCTTCCACTCAGGTCATGATCCTAGGGTCCTGCTCAGCCGGGAGTCTGCTTCTCCCTCTCCCACTTCCCCTGCTTGTGTTCCCTCTCTCGCTGTGTCTCTCTCTGTCAAATAAATAAATAAAATCTTTAAAAAAAAAGTTTCTTCCATCTTTAAATCCTTGGATTGGAATTATAACGCAAATAGTGGGAAATCAGGAGGAATGCTCTGCAATCCATATTTGGGATACCTAGAATGTTGGTGTAGAAAAAGGATGTCTCTTTTTTGGATCTCCCAGCAAATTATTAAACATCTCCCTTACCAGTCTGAGTATAACAGGCACTGGGATGGGGCATTAAGGCGGCAGCTCTGGGACTGAATGTCAGGCCAGAGACTGACACCACCTAGTGGTCAGTTGAAGAAGTGTGACTAAGAAGGGTGTCTTGGAAGGGTCTGGTGGACCCTAAGTCTTTTTTAAAGACTTATTTATTTTATAGTGAAAGAGAGAGAAAGAGCGAGAGCGCATGAACGGGGGGGAGGGTCAGAGGGAGAGGGAGGGAAGCACGGGATCCTGGGCTAGATCCTGAGATGACCCTGAGATGACCCTGAGATGACCCTGAGATGATGATCCGAGCTGAAATCAAGAGTGGGACGCCTAACCGACTGAGCCCAAGAACCAAGATTTATTGAGCGCTTACCATGTGCCAAGCCCATGCAATGGATTTTACATGGATTAGCTCACTTCTATCTCATAACCACCTTGTGGCATAGGGTTTATTTCCAGTTTGCTGATATGGCAATAGAGGCTCAGGGAGATTAAGGAATCTGCTCCAAATCACAGTGCAGATTGGAGCCCAGTTTTCATTCATTTAATCAACATTTATTAGGTACCTCATACGTGCTGGACACGTTGCTAGGTGTGTACTAGGGACGAGAGATAGAAACACAGTCT